GTATCAGCAGTCTTTGGATTTTCTTTCTCACATCCCACACCAGTGCTATTGCTTTGTTGATGGTGTTTGGGTTCTGGGCTGGGGCAGTGCGTGGGTATAGTTTGATTTGATATGTTTTCTGCTTTGGATTTGAGGATGTCACCAGGTGAAGCATCATTCTTGGCAGGTAGAGAACTGGAGGATTTATCCCTTGTGAGTAGCATAGTGCTTCAAACATGCTCTGGCATGAGAGACTGCAGGCATCAGTGAGAGGTTTCTGGGAGGGTCTCGAACAGAATTGGGCTTCTTTAATGGATTGGTTTGGGCATTCAGGATGTGGGGCTGGTGGGATGGGGAGGGGACTGATGATACATGGGAACTCTGAGAAATGCATTGGTCCCATCACCAACATCAGCAAATATCTAGCACTGATCTGCTTGAAATGGAGGAGCAGGTGAGGGCTGAAAGGGAAACATGTTCAGTAGTGCTTCAGAACTGCTGTCTGCACAGAGGTGGCAGAGGAATAGCTCTTGTCATGGTTTCCCCCCTGGGAGAGGGGCTGGGTACATGGGTACTTGGCACTTGCCTCCCATGAGGGATGCGAAGAGCCTCACCAGGAGCCTCTCGGGACACTGCAGTCCCAGAGCCAACCTGGCAGCAGAGATAGGGCTGTTCTTTCCAGAGCTGAACTCATCAGAGATCCACGCTACAGTGTTCTCGAATGCTCTGAACTGCTACCGTGGTTTGCAGAGCAGCAAAAGCACCAACTTACCCAAGAAGCATCAGATGCGTCACACAGCTCCACAGCCTTTGGTTCCTTGGGACTTTTGCTTCTTAAAGACATATCATGGAGAACTATCTCTGGGTCTCAGAGGTGCAGTGGTCAATAAACCCTGTATGTAGGGAAGATAAGGTGCTTCCTCCAGGCACTTGGGAACTCCAGTGTGTCAGATAGGTAACTTAGAGCCCCCCATTCTTAATTAGGCTGGTAATCTCACTGCCAGGCAGCTCTTTCTTTTGTCAATGTTACTGTGGCTGTTGATGAAACAGAAAGTGGTCTGCAATGTAATTCTACCTAGGTGACCATTTGACACCACACCATAGATGTACAGTTGTTTTCTTTTTGAATTACAAGTTCTTTGTATAAGTGATCAATTAAGCAAGTAAACTTTCAGTCGCATCTCTGCTGCTGTAAACCTGGAGCAACTCCAAAGCTAGTTGTAGCCAAAGAGTATAAGAAACTTTGCATTTTGAAATGACTCAGCTTCTCATTCTGCTGAGGTTCAGCCTCAGCAGAAATAAACTAGAAAAACAATCAAGATGGTATTTCTGAACAGCTTTATTATAATATAATGGCGTCGTTTTTGATGACTTCTGAACTGTCTTTTAGCACCGTTCATTTGTACAATTATGTGACACCTCAGCCACATGTCTGAGGATGAAGAGTGAACCATCTCTGAGCTACCAAATGCTATGAAAACCTAGCAAGTAGAAAAGCCAGATGTCTGTCTAGTAGAGAGGGTGCGTGTTTACAAAACTAGACAGGGAGTGGAAATTGAGCGTGATGCATGCCCCCAAACACACTGTATTGCTTTTTGCCTATATGGACAATTTCTGCTTCTTAGGATGTAATCAGATTAACCTTTCTATTATTGTTCTGTCCGTCAGGGTGCTGAGTCAGTCATGCTCCCATGGCTGTGAAAATGTCAGCTATAGGGAACAGCAAGGGTTTCTGCAGTGATGGAGGTCCTCAGAGTAGCTGAGTTTGAGTGCTGGGGTGCAGCTGTGGTAATTCTTACCCACAGTTTCCAAATGCATCTATTTTAGGCATGAGGAATCTCCTCCATCTGTGTGATTTCAGCTACTACCTTAACTCTGACTTCCTGAGATTTCCTCCTCCTTCTTGCCCTCCTGCCCTTCTTCCAATCACCTATCTCCTGTCTCTGGTTTCCCCTCCCCGGCATTTCATCTCAACTGGTTTCCTGCTGGTTAAAATGCACATCCTCCTCTTTCTTCCCATTCCCTTCCTTCTCTCCCACTTTTGGCAGTTTTCCAGTCCAGCAACCTTGACCTTATCTCCAATTCCTTCCATTTCCTCCCCTTCAGCTAACACTATCAGTGAACTCTGCCCATTTTCCTCCATCCTCCAAAGGCTGGCCATGCATCCTGCTGGATATGTTGTAATTTCTTTCCGTGCTGAATACAGTCCTCTCTTTTCTGGCCTCCTTTATATGTGCCTCTGGGGAGGAAGCTGATAGGAGTTTGGCTGAAGCTTTTTTTTTTTCGTGAACCATGCTGAAATCAGTGGGAATGAAGCCCCTACCCCACTTCATAAAACTCTGACTCTGTGTGTCTGTAAAGAGTCTTTTCTAAGGACGTGAATGCACAAAAAGCACCAAGTGTAATGATAAATATTAAGCCACCCTTCACAGGGTGGTTATTTTTGCTTGTTGCATCCTACATTTGCAAAGAGGGAGCATGTTGGCAAGACCCTTGCTTGCTCCCCTACTTTCTTCATGTGCATGTTTCTTGTGGTGGGGAGGTCTTTATGGCTTGGGGCATAACAGGCCATCAGCGTGGTCATTTGGTGCACTCACCGTTGGTGACAATTGCACTCAGCAATTTGGACATCTCTTTCAGTTGGGTGGGCTTTTTGACTTCCAAGCTAAGGGTCAAAGATCATGCTTACTTTAGTGTTACTGAGACTCCAATAGCAAGTTTTGAGTCTGTTTCCTTTGCTGCATCCCTCATTCTTTAACATTGTTTTTCTCTTCTTCATTCAAATTATCTACCTGTGTTCAGGTGGACCTCAGTTGATTGCCCTTGCCAAATTTCAGCCACTTGTCTGAGAAGGAAGGTGACCCTTTGAAAGTGTTTTGTGTGATACAACATATCCAGTGCTTCACTGTGCTTGCAAGAATACTTTTGTCTTGTCAGTATGGTGATCAGTTAAGTATGATCAAACTCTTTAGAAAACATTTGTCTCTAATGATTCTGGTTTCATTTGTATTCTGTAATAATTTTGAGAGTGATTATGATCATGGAAGTGCTTTGTAGCTCATTAGTGACTTCAGTTCTGTGAGGAGAAGCTGCTGCCTGTCATACAGGAGACCTTGTGATATACTCTATCTTGGTCAAAAAAATGTATTTAAAATGTTGACAGCAGCAGGATCCAGCAGAATTCCTTTTACTTTGTCAAATTACTCTCAACTCGGAAGAAATATTGGATGTTAGACCTTTGCTTGGTATTTCCTGTGTTGCTTCTGAAGAGGGCTGTGGGAGAAGATCCATATCAAGTATGGTTCATAGTTGTGAACTCCTTAATATTCTGCTTTCAGTTTTCATGATCTTGGTCATTTATGTAAAGAAGAGAGCTTTCATGTTGAAGCCAGAGAATTATGCATGTATGGGGTCTTTGACCTGTGTGGGAGGCTGATTCTGGAAGGACTCTGTTGCGTTTACCAGCCCTGTGAGAAATTTGTAACCCATTTTGCAGTATTAAGTTGCACCCGTAGACTGGCTGGACCCAGTCCCTGATGCTCCCTCCCCAGCCCCTGCCTTTTCTGTGTGACGTTATGGACGGGGTGGCTGAGGACATGTCCCCAGGTGGCCCCAGCAAGCTGTAACCCTCTGCCAGTACGTCCAGAACCATGCCCAGCCTGTGAGTGTCACTTGGTCTCTGTGCTTCGGCAATCTGTTAAATCTCTGTTAAATCTCCTTGGAGAATTATTGTGGGTGGAGTTACTAATTTTTCTGAGATGCTTGTCTCTCAGGAGGAAGTTATTGTATCGTCAGCAACTCAGTTCAGGAAGGTTGCTATTACGAGTAAATGGCTGTTGGTCATGACATGGGTTAAACACAGACCAGTGGCTTGGACATGAAAGGCTCCATGCCTTTCATGCTATTTTTGTCTGCAGCCTAATGCCTTCACCCATCTTTTTCTTTAATGTATGCTTAGTAAGAAGGCCCCCACAACTTAAAACATTTGGAAGAGCGAGAGGTGGTGAAGTGCCCCTCCATTGGTCCTTGTTTCTGGCACGACTAGCTTGTTGGCCTTGGCTTAGAAGGCAGAGAGATGAGATGAAGCATAAAACATGCTGTGTTTTTAAATGTGGAAAAGATGAGAATGGAGTGCCTCTTTCCTGCGATGGTGCTACATGCCGCTCTGCCATCCTAATTTGCTTTCAGAGGCCCTCAGTATAATCATTCTTTGTGTTTCCTAAAGGATGTGAAGGCTAAATACGACTTTGGTCAATGGTTTCATTGTTGGTTTCTTCCACTGCTACAAAGCAGTGCACAAATATTAGGGACAGGCAGGGTGCATCTCTCTGAATAAAGGTACTGTGTCTGTCATCATCCAAGGCAGATGCCTTTAAAAAATGAAAGCCCTTTGAAAAGTGCTTACAAGGCTGTTTGGACAGTAGAAATCTTTTGTAAAATGTAATTTCGGCTTCTTTCCCAATGGGATCCTTCATGCAGGAGAACTGGCCAGCATTTTGGAAACAAACCCAGCCAACATTAGGTTTGGACATCTGCTTATTTTAAGGTTGCCTTCACAATTTTATCTGTTGCTGAAGATTGGTACTTGATGTCTATGTGAAGATGTTGCCAGAAAAGCAATGAAGCTAGGCCAACTGTTTCTTTCATTTATGCAGCTTCTTAGAAATGACTGCTCTATGCTGGAAAATCATCTTGTTTGCATTGCTCCCTTGGCTAGAAGGATGAGAACTGTTTGATCTTGTCCTTGTACAAAGTTATCCTAAATGAGGAAAAAATGCTCCCTGAATAAATTTTTACTTGAAACCAGGATGATCTCCTGCCTGAGTACATCTAGACTGAGTGATGGTAGGCTTAAATGACGTTAAACTTTGAGGAAGGGGTAACAGTGTCTTTTCTCTTTGCAGATGGCTGAAGGGAATTGAATTTGAGAGAAGCTAGTGCTCAAATAGTCTGGATATTTTCTTCCTCCTTGCTTAAATCACTCAAAAAGAATTAAAGTATATCTTCTCTTATTTCAACAGGGACCAACTCGCATGACATCTGATCTTGCATCTTCTCCTGCAGCAGGATATGTCCCTGTTGGTCAGAAACCAGAGGCTGTTGTGCATGCTATGAAGGTAAGGATTCCCCACATCCCCACACTGCCAAGCAGCACAGTGTGGTGCAGTGCACCAAGCACAAAGTGGCAGAACGGGATGTTTGCTCTTCCTGTGGAAACACAACTAGAAATAGAAAGTTATTACTCGGGCAGGTTATCGGTAATCAGCACCTGTATCATGTTGAATAATCATTGCTTCAAATAGTTGCAGAGTTAAGCAAGGTCATGCATGACTGTTCTCACATTTGAAGTGAGGAGGAAGTTCTGTAGGTCAGTGTGGCAGAGAGGGATGAGAAGGTGTTTGTTTTTCCAACCTGTGACCTATTTCCAGGGATCAGCTGGAAACTGAAAAGAACTGAGGAAACTGTTCATGGTCTCAGTCTCTCCTCCCCCCTTCTCGTGGCACAATAAAATTGTGGCTGTTGGTCTCCAGCTGTGGATCTTAAACTGGGTAGAAGATAACGTTTTTTGGCCATGGCATTCTGTAGCATATGGAGTAGGTCTTATTTGCACCCTGCAGGACTGGGCAGCTTTTCCAGTGCCAGCCCCTGCATGTGGGAAACTGGATGCAGCTACCAGCTTAGACCCTCACTGTGATACAGCTCGTGACCTTGCCTTGAGGAAGAGAAGAGAGACTTTGTGCTTTGGCTATACCACATCAGATATTAGACAAAGCCCTTCTTGGTTGTATGAAGAAGTCCTTATGGCTGTAGCTCTTTACCCCAAATAAAGGCAAGGGGAAATGGAAATTGGCTTTGCCTGTCTTGCAGGCTGCTTGCATGCAAGTCTGTCTAGAAGTGGTGTGGCTGCAAAGATGCGGCTCTGCCCAAGCAAAGGTCACTGAGGGGCTGTGCACTCTGCATGGATCTGCAGGGCTTTTGGGTTGCCTCCAACTGCACCCATCTATGTAATGTCCCCTAGGCTTTTTCCTTGGCGTTTTCTGGCAGCTGAATGCTAGCTATGTGGCTGAAGCGTTGCCTGCCATTTAGCATAAGTTCATTCTTCCTTGAGCACATTTAGGGATTTTCTTTATTTTCACTTCTGAAATAGTTTTTGTTTATTTGTGTCTACTAAATAAGGAGCAAGATGACAGGTTGGCACTCCTAACAGCTGTTTCTGCTAACGAGAATAAAAGGTACATATGCTACAGCTCAGTATCTCACTGAACATCAAAGCACTTTTCTTAGGAATTGAGCAATTGTTGTTTCTTAGGAATTGTGCTAAAGACTTGGGGAGGTGACGAGGAGACAAGTGCAAGAGAATGACATTTAGCCTATAACTCAACTCCCACCTCAGCAGCAGCCTGGACCTCTCCCATGTGCACAGAGCCATTGAGCAGGTGATCAATCACTCCCACTGAGCTTGGATAAGGCAGGATTTGGCCCTGCCCAAACTAGGGAAAAGTCCTAGCAGCACTGTTGCCTTGTCAGAGCAGGATGCTGTGTTCCCCAGTGCTTTGTCCAGTTGAATTATAAATCAATAAAATCAGTGAGGCTTGCACCCTTTGGAAAGTATCTCTCACTTTTAGAGTTCTTCCTGATAGAGAAACACTTGCCTCAACTTTCAGCTCTCCTTCCAAAGCTTTACTCCAGTCATCAGGACTTTTTGGTGGGGTTTGTTTGTTTTTAAATACGCATTGCATCGTCATGTAGGGCTAGTTCAGCAAATCAGAAGGGAGGTGGGTGGGGTGGATTGGGTGACTTTGAGGTGACACTGCCTTGGTCACAGATGTCAGTGCAGTCATGAAGGAGAACTAAATGTACCTGAGGTGTTCCTCACAGTTGATGTATTGGCAGGGAGAAAGCCAGACAAGGCAGCGTGCTCATCGAGAGAGAGGTGCAGGTTGTCTTTAGGAGGTGGTATCTCAAGGCAGAAGAGAGCAGCGGTACACGGTGCAGCCCCATTCCCCTGCGTGGAGAATCACCCTGTGCCTGAGCAGAGCAGGCTGCCCTTGCTGGCTGGCGTGGGAGATCACATAGCACTGGTGCATCTGCAAAGGGCCAAGTGCTGTCAGTGAAGCTTGATGAAGAGCAAAAAGGACGGGATTGCATGAACCGCTTCGAGCCTGCGGTACATTTGTATGTTTTCTGTAGGCTTCTAGGCTGGGATGGAGTAGAAATCACAGGATGATATACCCCAGTTTCTTAGATCCACAGTGCATCCACAATCCTTGAAATTTAGCTGAGCCATAGACAATTTACGTGAAGGCAAATCCATAGTCCTCTGCAGCATAATTGGAGGAACATTAACCTGGTCCTTCTAAATGGCTGAGGAGGCGCCTGGCAGGATCTGAGAATGGCTGGGGCTGGGTCAGCACTAAGAGACCTTCCTGTCTTTCTTCAGGAGGTAATTTCACTCTGCAGAGTGTATTGTTTTTCTGGCATGCCTTTCCAGGATAGCCTGTTGAGTTTCATCCCCACAAATCCCTTTTTCCCATACCCAAGTTACTAACACAGCTTTACAGAGTGCCTTCCCAGATGTGGGGTGGGGCCTGGGGAGCAGGATAGTTTCCAGGGTAAATGAGTCCCAAGGCATTCAGATACAAAATACAACCATAACTTCCATCTGATCAGCTTTCAGCTTCAGCTCTGCCTGCTTTACAGCATTACAAAACATTTCTCCTGAAAGAAATGGGCTGTGCCACCCTCCACACCTCCTGCACTGGGGAATGTGGTTTTAGTTTAAGTGCAAGTCTTAAAAAACAGTTTATTTTTGTCCACTGAGATTCTTGTGCTTGCAAGATTGATGGCTGGTGGAAACAGAGGCTGGAGCTGATGTGATCTTTAACTAATCTAAACCACAGTTGTCCTTGGCGCTTGCCCTGTGGACACAGCCTGTGCAGGCAGCCCTGGCTCCACACGGGGATGTGATCCTGCAGGCTGCTGCCTTTGCAGCCGAGCGTTGGAGGCACACTGACTCCAGCGAGTGAGTTCGATGTGCAAGTCCAGATGGATCAATAATTAATTCCCTCCTCTTTAGCAAAAAATAGATGCTCTTTGTCAGCACGTACATGCTTTTTTGCATCCCTCTTGCCTTTCCTCTCCTCTTAGAAAGGATGTGGATAATTCTTATTTGTGCAAAGCTTGGTCCCAGCTATGTTGGTTAAACTAGCTGGTGCATTTTAGAAGTAGGTTAAGGGCCCTAGGAGGATGATCTATTTTCGTTCGTAACGCGGTTCGAGCACAGCAGGATTGCTGTGCTGAGGCAGACTAGGGGATAATCTACCCTGGTATCCCGTCTTGTGGAGCAGCCGGTGCTATATACCTCAGCAAAGGGTGAAACCCATCCTTGCAGTACATCTACCTCTGTGCTTCCCTAGGAGGTGTAGGAATATTTACGCACAGAAATACACGTGCTGTACAGCTTTATATGCGTGTGGATGTACTGTGGTGAGTAAGACCATGTGCTGTTTGATGGTGTTGAGAGATTCCCAGAGCTTTGACCCTGCACACCAAGCTGACCATCTTGCTCATCAGTGGCAAAGCCCCGGGTGAGGTATGGAGGTCAGCACGGATGCAGCAGTAAAACCTCGAGGCAGTCCTACACCGCGATATGCCCAACTTGTGCAACATGCCCATCAGTGGAACTATCTGAATGTACGCAGATGTGCTGGAGGGGGTATTCGGTGGGTCGGTGTGTTTCCAGTGGGAAGCAAAGGCTGCCCTTGGCCCCAGGCAGCACCATCCCTGTGACCGAGGGACCACCTGGCTGCAGCCAGGTACTGCCTCCCTGGAGGTGCTCTGTGGGGTGGCCGGGACAGGGTGCCCCAGGCGGGACATGGGGGCCAGGGGTGGCTTGCAGTCACAGAGGTGCGGGGTGTGGGCAGCACGTGGTGTGACACAGCAGCCACATAGATGTGCTGTGTCTTACCAGCTGTGCGTGGCCTGGGGATCGGCGCTTGGGGAGCATGCCTCCAAATGCTATTTAAAAGAAAGAAGTTAAAAATCGGACTTTTTTTCAGACATTGTCAACCTGAAATCTAAGAAAATAAGTCACAGGCAGGATGTTTCCATTATTTTTGCAGCATCCTGAGCTGCTTTCACAGCACATTTACTTGTTGTCCCAAGGCAAATCTCCAAGTGTGGCCCAGCCACCCAGCTTAGTGGCATCCAGGGGGACCATGAACACAAGCACTGGATGTGTCAGGCTTGGGGTGTCGCTGCTGGAGCTGTAACCTCTCTGTCTCTGCAAGGAAACCTGGCTCTTCGCAGATCCAGAGCACCTGCTGGTGATGCCCTCCGAGCCACAGAGCAGAGCCTCCTTGGAGAGTCTCAAATCCTTCCCCCCCTCCCTTTCAGGCTATTCCTATGCTTTTGCAGCCATATCACCACTTTTTGCAGTGCTTCCCTCCTGTTAATACTGTGGAAAAGCCCCGTAGTCACAAGCAGGAGGGAAAGGAGAGGCAATGCCTCTCTCCTGCAGAGGCTCCTGAGGGCAGGGTGCTGCAGGCCCATCCCTGGGCCCGCTGCCTGTCTCCAGGCTTGGGAGGAAAGGCAGCAAAACAGAGCTTCTTGGAGAGGGCGAGGCAGGCCTGGCGCCATCCCTGTGCGGGCATGGCCTGTACTCATCAGCCTTTGTACCAGCGATGTTACCCAGTAGCCATGGCTGCAGTTGGGGGCGTGGGGTGTGCAGGGGTGTGGGTGTGTGCCGGGGCTGGCTCTTCCCTTCCCTTCATGGGGCGAGCACTGCGGGTGGAAACGGTGCTGGCAGAGATTAGAGTAAATCCCGGGGAGTCGAGGCGATTATCTCCATCTTCAGAGGGCATCTGTGGCACAAGGAGAGGTGACCCAGATTCACCATGGCACTCGGCTCTCTGTGGTGACAGTGCCTTCAGGGGGCTGCAGTCAGCTCGCGGGAGGCTAGGAGGCCATACAGGGTTTTTTTCCCCATCCTGTTCCCATCCCATTCACAGCCTGGATGCATCCAGCTCAAAGAGGGAGTGGGTAAGAGCCGAGAATCCAATGGGGATCTCCAAGTCCCAGGGCTCTGTGCTAACAGCCCGTCTCTTGCTCACTGTCATTGTGAGCCTCTGAGGGGTTCTCTTCAGAAACTAAATGGGTTAAAACCATTTTCAGCCAAAAGGTGAGTGAAATTGGCTGTGTCAAGATCTGAAAGTTCATGGCTGATTGGAAACCTCACAATTGCTGGGGGATTTCCTCAGGGGAACTGCCTGGAAGGTGGGGCAACCAGCAGCCTTCTTGGCAGAGGTGTGTTTGTGAGCGTGGGAAGCTCACTGCCAGTTGTCACATGAGGTTGTTGGGGACACTTTATTATCTGAGGAGCGTAATGCTTTTGTAATATTGTTTTTTGTAGGTCCTTGAGGTCCATGAAAATTTGGACAGGCAAATGCAAGACAACTATGAAGAAGACCTGAGTGAAAAGGAGAAGGCGATCGTTCGTGAAATGTGCAATGTAATAACTTCTCTCAGAAACTCTAGGGGTTTCTTTCCCGTTCTTTTGTTAGAAATACGGAGGAGCGGGGGTCTGCTGTGTACAAGCCCTGTTTCACGTGGGTGGAGGCTGTGCTGACCACTGCTTTGGGTATCAACCCAAGTGCCTTGTTCACTGCATGGAGCAGACTTCGCTCAGCAGATGCTTCCCACGCTGCTGCCTTCAAGGGTGCAGAGTAGCTAGTCTAGCAGACTGAGAGCTGTGCAAAGGGCTCTCCCACGTTTGGAGAGTTCTGTTAGCAGTTGACTCCAACCGTGTCCTTAGGGACTCAGTTTGGCTGAGGAGCAACTAACTGGTTGCTATCTTTAAAGCTGTACAGCTTGAATGGGTTTGAGTCTAAACCATAAGATAACGTCAGAGGGAGAATATTCATGTCTGAAGCCATTGAACAGCATCATGGTGTGTGGTGTGCTTTTAGCACTGCCAATGTGTTAGGCAACCACACTGTTAACTGAGCTTGCCACGTCCTGTACAGTGTCTGTACGAAACCTCCGCTCTGCCGTGTCTGCTGCAGTGGCACTGCCTCCAGCTTCAAAGCACCTTGGCCGCACTTTGGCTTTGATCAAAAAGTTTGGGATTTCTGATAGAACATGGCTCCAGCTGCATGTGGCCTGCAGTCAGGGATGTCCTGTTCGACAGTACCAGCAGTGCCCACAGCGGGGAGGGGGATGCTTATGGAGCCTTCTCTTTGGTCCATGCTGGAGGTCAGTCCAAGTGGCATAATTCAGTGCCTCACAGCAGGAGAGAGGAGCCTAACCCTCCGTTTCAATTCTGAAAACCACCTCAACCCTAAAAAGGGTGTAAAGAACGCAGGTGCATCTTGCAGAGCTAAATCACTGCAAGCATCCTTGGCAAGGGCTGAGGCACTTCGCTTTGGTTGCTGGGTCCCTAGAAGCAAAGCCTAGACCAGAGTAAACGAGGGCCTGCTTTTTAGGGTGTCTGCTTAATGCCACATTCCCTTGTAGCCATGCAGGGGGAAAGGTAAAATGCCATAGCTTCATCCTCCCAAATGGGCTCATTTTTGTTTGTATATCATCAGCTGGTTTTTCTTTAAATATTAATTTTATGTAGACTCAAGGCAGCTATGAAGTGCTTTGCAGTTTCTTATTTTTTTAAAAAATAGCCTCCCTTACCCCAATGGCCCTAGAGTGATAAAATGTATGTTTTTAGAAAGTCATGTATATATACATACACATATAAAATTTTAATCGTTATCTTTTCCGTTCATGGTAACATCATTTCTGTAAGCATGGCAGGGTTGACCTACCATTGAACTTAACTTCTGAACCTAGTGTATTTGTTTTATGCTATTACCCCAGGCAAAAATGGTTCTAATTTCAAGGAGCCTAATTAGAAAAATGCATCAATGTTTTTTGCCTTGGAAACTGGTGTACAGATGCCATCCAGTGGCTCTGCTGAGAATTACAGACCAGCTCTTTTTTTTTTTTTTTTTTTTTACTTTCAGACTGCAACTCTCTCCGACACCTCTTTATTTTTTTTTTACAGGTTGTCTGGCGAAAGCTGGGTGATGCTGCGAGCTCCAAACCCTCCATCAGGCAACATCTTTCAGGAAACCAGTTCAAGGGTCCCTTGTAGGAACACCATCCCGGAGGCTGGAAGTGATTGATTATGTGAAGACTAAACAGGCAGAGCTCAGCATCTCTGGCTGCCTGGTCTTTGGGAGATGGGGTTGAGTTTTTTTCAGGGTTTCCTTTTTTCTACCCTTTTTTTTTTTTTTTTTGTAACGATAGTGTAAATATGGCAGCTAAAGGCCTGATTTCCAGGCTGTGGTGCTCTGGAACTACTGTTCAATGGGTAACCATCCAATAATGCCAGACTTGCATCATTTGTATTGTAGTTCAAACCTGCTTTCTTGTAATGGTCTGTTTGTAGAATTAACTAACTCAAGAGAATTTCTAAGAGGAACAAGAAGAACCCTTAACCTACGGAGAAGTCACAGTTTGCATCGTTCTGGTCCACCCGTTTGTCAGTGATTCATAGCTGGGTTAGTGGCTCCAGGCAGCACCTTTCAAGGAAAGAGCAATTTGAATTTGTTGGCTTACTGCCTGCAAGCTCCTCAGCTGTTAACACTTTTTTTTTGGAGGTCCATATTTTGAAGAATGACATGCAACAGTTTTCACAAGGCGCTGTGTACAATATGGAGCGGCTAGCTAAAAGCACCGGTACCGCTCTGTACATTGTACGGTGGTACTCATCACAAAGGTGTACAGAAAGGCTTGAAACTCCCTACCAGCTGTTAATGAACTATTTTTCATGAACAAATGACACAAGCTTTCTGCAGTCATAATGTGAATGAAGTCACTTAGCCACACACCAGTATTCCCTACAAATATGGCAACACTTTTCCTGTAAAGCTTTTACTACAAAATAATTCAGCAGAAACTGCCGTCCTAACAGTGCTTATGCCTTCCACAGGATCTTCCAGAGCAGCTCATCTTTCACATAAGGAAGATTTGGGTTTTTTTTTTTTTTTTTTATTGTTCTTGCTGGATCCCTCACCTATTCTGGTTCCTGTGTAAGGTAACCAAATAACAACCTTGCAGAGCTGAATAAAAAAACTCCATAAACACGGGCTGTTGGGTGAGACTACTTCCTGCCACTCAAGCTTTAGTTTTGTTAATGAACCAAAACAAGTGGGTTTTTTTTCCTTCCTTCTCATGGTTGTATATAAAGCAATGGGACTTATATTTTGCTATTGTGGAGTAGCTGATTGTATAGTTGTAAGAATTGACCCCCTTCTTTTCCAAGGTGTCACAGCAGCTGTCCCTGTATTTTATTAGATGTTCTTTCCCAATAGTCCAAGGAAGCGGGGCTTGGTTATTAAAACAATTGGTGTAAAGTAATTCTAAAGACAGGCATGTGAAAACATCAAAGCCTCCTCTTCAAAAGTTGCATTGATTTTAATGATTAGTTCGAAGATTTAATGACGTCAAACACCATCACTTCCTTTTTATTCTCCATAAGAATCAGTCACAGCTACAGACAGCTTAATTAGCTGGACATGTTTTTCCTCTTGAATTAATTTGTTCTACCAGCTGAGTTCATGACTTGTAGTATTGTAGTAACATGGAGCACAGATACAGTACCAAGGAGCCCATGCTGCAAGTTCTGAAAGGTAATTGTTCCTGTGGTATACAACAATCTGTCTGCGTGAGTAAAGAATTTGGAGTGTCAGAGCTGAGATCTGTAACCAGTAAAAAAACCAGAGAAGGAATACAACAAAAATACATAGTAACCAGTAAGAGTAATCACCACTTCATTATTCATTGCAGAAAAAAATGTAACAGTCAGATGAGTAGGTTATTTGAAAAAAAGAACAAAAAACACAAAACCCACACACATATTCTCACTCACACACTCACCAGTTTATTTCTTAATACTGCTCAGTCAGTGAACACTGAGCTAGCTGACTCTTAAGTCTAGTAATATTTACATCCAATATGTCTGGAAAAAAACATTTTAGAGTCTATGTCCTATAAAATACGGCATCTTTAGAGGATTCCAGATTTCCTCCTCTTTGCTTTTTGTTTTGACCTCCAGTTTCTAGTCACCATTGATTACTTCTCTTCCTCCTGTGCAATTTGTACCTTGAGATTTTCATACCAGAAAAGGTGATGTAAAGCAGAGGCATCGTTCTTCCTTAACATCCAATGTCAAACAGAGGGTTACTTTAATCTATCTGCTTGAAAGCTCATTTTAATTTTGGTGGCCCCTAATCACTCGATTAAGCAGAAAATTTTAGCATATTGGGAACAAGGTTAATTTATGTCAGTGACTTTTAACTAAAGTAATGCAAATGTTGCCAGCGCTTGTAGAGTTAATTGTGTCAATGACGTTCTTGCTATGTTAGGAGAGTATTAAGACTATCAGGTCCTCTCAACAAGACAAGAGCTATACTAATCTGATTACGTGTCTCACCAGCTATGTAATTCTCATTCAAATATTCCCTGCTATCAAATCTCTCTCAAGTCTATACAATGACTTCAAGCAAAGCTTTTGTTCCACCTGCAGATCTCACCTACAAGCGAAATAGTGGTGCAGTTGAGGTCCATTAGTGCTGCAAATCCTGAAGAGCCCATTTATGGGGTAGCCAATAGTTCAGCTGAAGTCTTGATACTCTTTAGGGTATATTCTGTTTCTTTAAGATTCTGTTTGGCAGCATAAATCTTCAGTGTAAGATGTGCATCATTGATTTTGCAGAACACGACGGTGCTGTATGTTGAGGTGTTATTTTGGGGGGTTTTTAGGCTTGCTACTTTTCATACTTAGCTCCATTTGAGTGACAGTGTGTCTTCCCAGGGTAAAATGATGCTCAATGACTTCACGGGATGACTTGGGTGCTGAATTTTGTCTAAAAAGATGTTTTATATGCATATTTAAATTCACTTACCTATGCACTAAGTCTTCAGTGAAAACTACCTGAGGAGCTTTGTACATTAAGTTGGAAGGGAACATCCCTTGAAGTAGCAACCATTAAATTAAGATATTTGGGGCAACAGTCCAAGTTAAATTTCCTCAAGATTGAAGCCCTGGGTTCTGCAATCCTCTGGCAATGAAAGCATCCACTGTTCACAAATGGACTTTGCTTGCTTAAGGAAAGTAAAATCACATCCTTGACTTTTTGTTGGAGTGACTGAAGTGAATGGCATTTCTATAGAAGTTTCTGAAATGCTGCGGTGTAACCAGCTTCAAATGGCTCTTTGCACCTTGATAAGACTGCTGAGCACAACCTTGTTTGAGAATGGCACATTTTTATCCAAATATTAGATATTAAATCAGTGTTAAAGTGACCTTTTATCTTTTTAGAAACTGTGGGGGAAGAGTACTACTGATCTTTTTCAAAGTGCATGACTGTAAAGTGATAAAATTGTATATTTTTCATAATGTGGGGAAAGTCTATTTGTGCTGCTTTAGAAATCAGTTTAAAGTTTGATTTCTGTTAAACCTGTGATCTTACTGCCCTGCTATATTTTCTGTACATGATTTACAAAGAACTGGAAAAGTCAGCACCTGCTGTTGTGTATATAGCAAAATTCTTTAGACCTTAGCACGCGTTTTTACCTATTATTGAACCACTTTGGCTTTTTTGGGGAGGGAAAGTAATAGTACAAATTTTTTTGATAATGTGTGTAAAACATTAATTTGAAATATTTTAGTAAAAAATGAAGTAAGAGATTGATTGTGATAGTGTATACTTCTAGTTGAATAAAATAAAATACATTCTTTTTAAATAAACTGATGAATAAGATTTTGGAAACCACTGCTGAAATATCTTGCAGTAAGTACCATAGTTATGAATTCTGAACTAATATGAAAAACCTGGAAATCCACTAAATTCAGAACCAATTTTATTTGGGTAGATGTGAACAAAGTATTCCCATTTATAACCAGGATGTACATCACAGTAGGTTGTTACATTCAGACTTTCACACTTAGAAAATATATATATTATGTACAGGAATTTGCAATTAGGTGTAAACATACAATACTTTAAGATACCAGTACATTCCAAACCAAAAATATCAGCAAGGCAAACACCTCAAAATGATTCCAGTCAGCTAGCATTCAGAATCTCTCTTAAATAAAGTAGCTTTTATGCCTGACATTGTGTTGTTTTAATTATTATTAAAATGAAGTTTCTTACTATAGATCAAATTTCATGGTATCTGGCTATTTTGATACGCAAAAATAGGCACCGATTTCTAGAAGGAAATTTTCTTCTTATTGATACAATTGAGCCAATATGGCTGTTTTTTCTAGCACGAAGTAATCCAGTGCTGGAGTAACTCAAGACGATTTAAAGTTAAGTCAAGTGTATAAAGTTAGAATAGATACTGCAAAGCTGATTAAAATCTAGAAGCCTATATAACTCACCATAAACATTACTGCAAACAGATCAGCTAAATTTTCATTTCACCACCTCATTTCTTCATCTAAATTATACAAATTACCCTCCTCTTCATCTTTACAAAGTAGGTTTTTGCTAGCTACTCCTGCCTAGTCAACATAAGGGCTATCGTGCAAATGACCTCATGCTATCTCATCCATGTAGCACGTCCAAGTCCTGCTACAGGTGGCATACCAGGTGGTGGAATTGGAGGTGGCACAGGTGGCTGACCACCTGGGGGAACAGTAGGTGGAGGGTAACTAGCTGGTGGCATTCCCAGCCCTGGAGGTGGATGAGGTGGTACTGCATGAGTTGGAGGCAGTCTTGGAGGTGGGAAATTAGGGTTGTATGTAGGTGGAGGAGGATATCCAGGAGTAGGAGGGGGAATATTGGGCGGGGGGAAGGAAGTAGGGGGTGGAGGTGGAACTGGTGGTGGAGGGTTGGGAGGATAGACATGAGGATGATATGGTAGATGAGCTGGTGGTCCATAGGCCGGTGGTAAAGCTCCGTAGGTTGGTCCTTCTGTTTTCATCATTGACTGAAGACTTTGATAACCCTCCCCTGACATATAAGAATTTGTAGTAGACATCCCCGTAATATAACTGGTGGGGGGTGGGGGTGGGGGGCGATGCGGCAGAGGTGGAGGTTGATGTACTGGGGCAGGATGAGCAGGGGGAGGAATCTGGAC